GCTGAAGAAACATTTCTGAAAACATGTACTTATGTATAAAATGATCCTCCCTATCTTGACTTTATTATACAGTATTAGTAGATATTCTGATTAAATTTTCAGTTTTTGTCCATTTTGTGATATAGTAACACTCATACCAGTACATCATCTGTGCCTGAGCTTTAGATCGTAGTGTATGCTATGATAAGCTTTTGTGCAACAAATATCAAGTGCAAGCAGGTATCATTCTACAGAGATGCACATATGCTCAACCCATGTGTGAGAATTTCAGTATGCTGATGGCAATGCAACTACAGACCAAACTATTGTTAACCTCCAGAGATTAGCAAACCTGTATAACAAGGCTTACAAATGCTTCGGGATGCAGGTCAATGTCAAAAAGACAAAAATCCTCATCCAGCCAGCCCCCAGACAAACAACACCGGACATGAGTATCAACATCGAGGGACAGCTGGCAGAAGTTGTTGATGAATTTCCCTATCTTGACAGTATCATCTCAAATAATGTCACCTGCAAGAGAGACCTTGACACCAGGATCAAAGTGGCTCATACTACATAAGGAACACTCTCACATCAGGTCTTCAGCAATCACAGCTTCACCATAAAAAACAAAATCAGTTGCCCAGGCTGTGGTTCTCTCCATATTTCTGTACACTTGCAAGGCCTGGACTTTGTATCAACAGGATATCAAACATCTAGAATGGTTTCAGCAAACAAAGCTCCAAAGAATTCTTCACATCAGTTGAGAGGACCACATCACCAACAACAAGGTCTTCTCTTGGACATCTCTTCCCAGCATTAAGGCTACCATCATTCAACATTGCCTGCACTAGGTGGGTCACGTGTCCAGAATGTGTCCCACTCAAATCCCACATATCATCCTGTTTGGAGAACTCACCAGCAGCAAGAGGCTACACAGAGACCTAAAACAACATTTCAAGGATAAGTTGATAACATCCCTGACACAGGCTAGCATCAACCTGAGAAATGAGAAACAGTTGATGCAAATCAGCCTTCCTGGCATAGGACCATCCAAGTGGAGACTGAGACTTTCAAGCCAACATGAACAGAATCTGCGACATGCTGTCAAGCAGGTCCAACTAGCCCAGCCGCATCCACCACCCACACTCATCTGTGAGTCCTGCTCACGACTCCTCAGAAGTTGACTGGACCTTCACAGCGATCTCTGTCACCACCATCAGAGGGGAGAAAGGCAATAAGGAGAGAGGATGACAATCTCAATGCTTGAATGCAAGAGGGTGACAACAACACATGCTCCTTTTGTTTAATTAGCACCAATTAAGTGTAGGCCTTCAAAAGGCTGGATGGTAATTTGGGAGAACTGTTGCATGTGTTAGACATAACCTATTGGATGGTTCTTTGCTGTTGAAGACTAACAGGAATCTGCCTATTGAATGACCATGTTGACTTTTGGCAACTGACAATAAATCTAAGAGAAATGCATTCTTTATGGATTTAAGGAAGACTATACAAATTTGGTACCTTATTGTGGCATTGGTTCAGCTGTCTGTATTTGTTGTTGCTAAAGTGATCTCTGTTCTATAACAGTTTCCTTTCAGATTTTTAATGATGAGTCCATTTTTAGTTTGCAGTAGTTATCATCCCTTCAATGTGTCACATCTCTTCAGGACATGGGTGATCATGGCTCTCTACAACTCCCTACTCCTTATAGCTCTTAGCAGCATTTGTCCTGTCATCCATTCACACAAGCTCATCAGGTAGGTAGACCACTGCCTTTCCCATAATATGTTCTCCAAGCTCTCCTTCCTCATTATGTGTCCAAGAAATTTCAGCTGTCTCTTTCTAACTCTGAGCACTAGTGTTCTTTTTGTTACTCTTTTCTTAAGACTTCCTCAACACTTAATCATTCTGTCCATGGAATTCTCAGTATCCTTCTGTAGAATCTCATTTTGGTTGCCTCCAGTTTTCTCTTCATCTGTGAGGAGATCCCCTACTATGTTTGTCAATTTTTGTGAAATTGGGTGGGTTCTTGTAACGGAAAATTGGTTCAGCCCAAGAAACAACTCCAAGTTGGTTGTATATGGTGCTGTAAGCACCAAGAGTTGTGTCCTCTTCCACAATAGGCTGTTGAGAGAAGACCTTCTACTTAGCGTAAGTGGTGCTGACTATTTGTATATGAATGATACTAGGCAGGTATTAGCCAATAGTCAGCAGGGGTCTGGGATTGAGATATAACACCAGTGTTTTTCTAAGTCGAGAGCGAGACTCTCAACGTGCGGACATGCAAATACCAGACAAGACAAACACAGTCCTAAAATTTAGGCTTAAGTAACATGAAAAAGCCGTAACTATTAGAAATACTCTCAAATCTGGTATGGTGAGAGGAGAGACACAAACCTTTGTGGAATAGGGGTCAAAATATTAGACAGAGAAAAGCAGTGGTAAGTAAGAAGACTGAAGAAATTTGCCTACACATCAAATAGCTCAATAAGCAATTACTAGAATATGGGAGTCATTAAGCAGGACAGCCCCAGGAACAGAGTTGTAAAAATCAAACATGTGTGAATGGTAACTGACAAAATTCTTGAAGATAACAGATGTCAAGAGAAGAATGGAAAGTGAAAAACATAACAAGAAAATTAATCTGAAGAAAATGACATACAATGAAAATGAAGAGTGGAATTAAAAAAATTTAAAAGGAATGAGATTATGTTGAAAAATAAATATTTATCATGTAAAATAAATGTTTTTTTCATCATTTATATTCAGATTGATATAATTTTCTTTGTTATTATCATAAAGTTCTTTCTCATCAATGGTTTGTTCAAAATTCTACAAGTCACAATTCCTGTTTATAAGATTCACCATATCATATAAAACTGTTTGTAATGGAGAAAGTTGACTCTTGAAGTGATTTGATTGGAGAACAGGTTGATAGATGCTTCTATTTTCATTTTGGTATATTCTGTTACCTATGAAGGCCAAACTGAATGTTTCCATCTTTTTAAAATTTCTTTCAGCTGTACATCCAATAAGAGAAAGAGCATATTTTGATGTCTTCATTTGCTTAATCAGTAGTTCCCAACCATTTTTTGGCCATGCCTCACCCCCATGATATATAATTCTTATTATTCAAAAAGTGAACTCCTATTAACATGCAAGAAGCCTAAAAAGCCATTAACTTGGTCTAAACAAGCTTCCAAAAGCATGGCATACATGAAAGAGAAAAATAAATGAACAAAAGAACAGTTGAAATACTGAGGAAGAAATTACTAAGAAATCTTTAAAAATAATATATATATATATATATATATATATATATATATATATATATATACAGTACATACGTAATTACAAATGTGAATAAACACAAATATTTTTATGCATGCATGTTGCATATACACCATATGCATTAACTTGCACATTCACTCATACTCACTAGAAAAAATTCACTGTTAATAACTCATTCTTGAATTGCCCCTGCTTAAAAAGCAAATTGCCCACAGTGGGACATTTGCCGGATGTTGGGAACCATGAGCTTAAATGTTTTCATTATGACTCTTGCCGGTAAGTTTTTACTGAAGAAATGATTTTTCCTATTTCTTAATACTTTGTTTTGTTTTGAAAGGCATCTTTGCATCTCCAATTTGAAGTTTGTATTTTGGGCTGTCCCTCTTGCTAATGACCAGAAGTTAGTTGACAAAATTCTAAGAGATACTTCTAATGTCTCTGCCTAAACCCTGAAATTTTATTTACTATTTATTTACTTTTTTCTCAATAAGAGTAGATATTTTTCCTCAATAGGAGTTGATAGGTTCACCTATTGCCCAGTTCTAATCCTTCTCTATCTTTTAAATAGAAGTAGAGATTTCAGTATCTGTCTATATTTCTGAGATGAGGTATTATGTACACTATTTACATTATTCGGACTATTGTCCTCATCTTTGTCACCATATTTATTACAAGGTTTTGACAGGAGTGTACAACAGCTAAAATGTTGTAATAAATATGGCGACAAAGATGAGGACAATAGTCCGAATAATGTAAATAGTGTACATAATACCTCATTTCAGAAACATAGACAGATACTGAAATCTCTACTTCTATTTAAAAGATAGAGGAGGATTAGAACTGGGCAATAGGTGAACCTATCTATAAATGTAAATAGTGTAAGTAGAGATTTGTTCCTTGATTCCTGTTTAGGATTAGTTTTCCGGTTCCTTCTAAAGTCTTTTCATTCTTTTTCATTCCCAGTAGCCCCTTGCATCTTAGTGGCATTATTGCCTTGCTTGGGGTAAATCAATTAAAAAAAAATAATAACCAGATTAATTCTTTAATTCATTAACTGCTGTAGAACTCTTCAATGAAGAGAAGAGAAAAAATAGAACTCTCTTGTAAATGCAATTAAAAAAATATTAAGAGAAAATTTCCAATGAGTTTCACCAGTACTATATAATTACCAGGGATTTTCATACTATTTATGAGATACTGTATGAAACTTGGTTTATGAGAAATACTTTTTAATTCTATGCACAACAATTGTAAAGTACATGATCTTTTCAATTTGAATCAAGTTGAGGATTATAAATATCTAGTATCATTTATCTCCTCCTCCTTGAAAGACTTCCAAACTAGGAAGGGTATGGCATGGTCTGCATGAAATGATATCTACATGATCTGGATATCACAACTGGACAGAAAACTCAAGATCAAAATATTCAGAGGCACTGTTGAGCCAATTCTACTCTATGGCTCAGAGACATAGACACTCTCTAAAGGCATGAAGAAATGTCTGAATGGAACCTACATCCTTCTGATGAGAGCTCAAAACCTCTCTTGGAAACACCACCCAACCATCCACCAACTCTATGGCAGTCTTCCCCATATTTCCTCTCTCATACGAGCTCGTTGAGCACAGTTTGTTGGTTGCTGCCACCATAACAAGAATTAAGTTGTCTCCTCTCCCCTACTCTGGAAGCCTGCATCAGGGTCATAAAATTATCATTCCTTGATGTCACCTTAAGGGATGCAGACATTGGGAGGCAGAACTTGGAGACAGCAATGAAGGACTGGGAAGTTTGGTGTAGTGTTGTGGACTCCATGATCTTGACTGCAGTCGACACATGATGATAGTGATGATGCACAAGAAAAAGAAAATAATGATCACCTAAATTTTTAATTCATACTTTGTATGTTTTTGTTAACAGATTTGTGCGAATGGATAGTAGAGTGGAGACAAAGAAGGATTGTGAAGAGTCAAATATTGTTTAGAACAACAAAGAATAGGGGAAGTTGTGGACAGCCATGACTGCCCATGTTCTGAAGGTACATGGCACATAAAAGAAGATTCTAATAAATAATACAACATTAAATACTTTCAACATTAATCACTTAATTTTACTACATACATTTAACATGACCGATGAGATGAGATGAGGTAAGTTAAAGGGCCAAACAAGTATTTGGTAGATTAATAGACTAAAGGACAATTTACTAGAAGTCGAAAACCATATGACAGAGATCGGGGTTCAGACACACAGGGACTGGTGTAGAGGACAGATACTCACACAAAATCATGGGACCTGCTCCTAGGCCAAAGGACCAGCTCCAGAAGAAGGACAACATAGACCTGTTCTGAAGAAACAGATACTTGTTATATGTATCAACAACAGACTCTGATAAGTCACATTACACATTCTATGTAAAGGAGGACAATGTCTGTATTAGCTTTTCTAATAATAATAAATATTGTTATCATTATAACTTGCCTTTTCCTTAACCTATGCATCCCAACATTAGTAAAATATATTGATAACATTTTATTTTATGTGCTAATAAGTTCCAGTCAAAACTCCCATATGACAAAATACTCTCAGTGAAACAGAAAAGTTAGAAAAAAAACCTCTTAGTTTTTAGTAGAAAATAACAAAAATTTAAGCTATTGGTATTAATTTTTTTACCTTCCTAATTATTCTTAAGGAAAAGTATTTACCTGGCCTCATATTCTGATCACAGATTTTTAAGGCTTTTTGGATATAAAAAAATTCTAAGAATAAGAATTTTTACCATAAAAATAAAGTAGAACATAATTCAAGAATTGCAAATACTGTCCAAACAATGTGTCCATGTACATTTCAAACCTAAAAATTTTCATCTTGTGCAGCAAACAGCATGTGCGAACAGTCTATTTTTTATTATAATTTGTTTTTTTTAATGTGTTCATTTGTGCTTATTAATTATTTTTTTAAACCAATAATCATCAAGAATAAAAAATATTAACATCTTATTTTGAATTTTTAAACTATTTTCTCAGCTGGAGGTGGATGTGTGGTGATGTAATGGATAGCAGCTCGGAATGAGAAATTGGTGATATGAGTTCATTTGTTACATTCACTTATGAGCAAATAACCCCAGGAAAGGTACAAATCCATCTCCTCTCCCCAGCTCTGAGTTAAATGGTAGAACTTGTATCTGGAAAAATAGTTGTTATTCTCAAAAGATTTTTAATCCAAAATATGATTTGGTTTTAAATAATCCACAAAAAGTTGATAAGCCATGAAAACGAAATCTAATTCAACTAAAATATTTCACATATTCTGCTTGTTGCTTGAAAAATATCTGGAAATTTTCATTTTTTTTTCTTTTAAGATCATCATTTTTTTGTACATTTCAACTTTTTTAAGCAAAATTTATTTCATTGTAATTACATATTAGTAAAAAAAATGTTTTTTTAATTTTATTTTTTATTCAAATAAAACCTAACATGACACTAATTACTTTCTTCTCATTATTTACATGGGGACTATTATCCTCATCTTTGTTGTTGTTACCACATTTTGGTCATTGTGCGCTCTGACCTTCATCAGATGTATGTCGATCCAGGCAAGCTAAATTTCAAACTGAACCCTAATTTAATCGTTGGAGATAGACTGCTCTTATTCCACTGTCCATGTCTAGAGATATCTTGTCTAGTTTTTATTTTTAATAAAAGATACTATTTTTTAACCAACAACCATTATGAATTAAAAATGTATTAATATCTGACTTTCAAATTTCTGAATATACAAATTGCTCTCTTGGTTGAAATATTCCACATATTCTGCTTGTTACTTGAGAAATATGTGAAAACTTTAATTTTTTTTGTTTTTAATATTTTCATCATTTTGTCACTTTTCAACTTGTCTGAGAGAAATTTATTTCATTGTAATTACATATTAGTAGAAAAAAATAAAGGAAAAATTCTTAAAAATTTTAATTTTATTTTTTTATTTAAATAAACCCCGCATATATAAATGACACTAATTACTTTTTACTCATTATTTACATGCTGACTATTCTCTTCATCTTTGTTGTTGTTAATACAATTTTGGGGTTATTGTGCCCTCTGACCATCATAAGGTATGTCAATTTGGGTAACCTAAATTTCAAACTGAATCCTTTACTTAATTTATGGGTGTAGGTTGTTCTTGTTCCACTGTCCATGTCTAGAGATATTTTGTCTAGTTTTTATTTTTTAGTACTTTTTTCTCCCATGTTTATTTCATTAATTAAGGTAGGGAAAATATTTGGTTAATGTAGGAAGGAAAAATATTTCATTTGATTAACAGAGTAGTGGCAAATAGCTAAAATCACTAAAGAAATGCTAATGTTCATTTTAACAATTTGTATGCATCAATGCTGTCAACTGTAAGACAATCAAAGTAATATTAGATTAATGTGTGTCTCATAGAAACATTCCAGTTTGAAGAACACAAAGATATTGTTACAAAAACACAAACAATGCCTTCTTTATTGCAATTCTTAATGGGATTATGTATGTTTAAATAATACCTGAAAATAATCCTTGTTGTTCATTATATGCAACTATTGGGACATTTTGTCCCACCCCAAAACTTTATGCTTAAGAATACATTATCAAGTGTAGTGCTTATTAAAGGTCTTATGACCATATTAATAAATAAAAAATAAAAAAGACTCAAAAACTTTGTGCAAAATCTGGAGTAAAAGGTTTAATGAATATTAGACTACCCATGACCCAATGGTTCAGGTTATAAAACATTGAAGTTGATTTCAACATTAAAAAAAATTGTCTGTTTGAAGAAAGTTGAAATAAAAATACTGCATATAAACAACTCATATTTTTAAATCTTATTCACTTAAAATATTTTTTAATTCAAATTAACTTAAAAATATTTTTTAATATGCCAAAAAATATTTTTAAATCATAGTCACGTGAAAATATTTTTTAGATATAGCAAATTAATTTTCTCAACCATACTGGATTAAAAAGTTGGCACCCTAAAATTAATAAAGTCCATTTTTGGACCAATCAGAGAGACATATGAACCTGTTTTATTTGAAAACCTATTTTAGAGCCTATTTTTCCTCCATAAATCATATATGTGACTTGCTTCAATTAGTGGCTCCTGGTGTTTTTCTATTTATTCACACTGACATGACTGAACAAACAAACAAACAAACAAACAAACACACACAGAGTGGTAACACCATTTTCCACAAGCTTGATAGCATCTGTCATCTACAAATATACTTTGAAATCAAAGAAATCCAAATGTGGCACATATTACTACAATTAACTAAAAAATAAGGAATTTTTTTGGAGAGAATAATTTTTGTAGATTAACATTCATTAGACCTTCCATAAAATATGACATTTGTCAGAATCAAAAATATTGATTTTTTTAATTTTATATGGGAGGGTTTTCTTCATAAAATAAATACAGTGTCAAATCAATCCCTGACTTCATAAAGAGTTATCTGTACTTTGTTTTTATTTACAAATGTCAAGTTTGAAACTATGCTCACATTATTGATAACTATGTACTATTGATTGATTCATTCATTTTCTACAGCTTATCAACCCTTTGCAGTTTATTTAAAGTCAGAAAATATTTTTAGATTCTAAGAATTTTTGTATTAGATAATGATTTAGTGATACAAGTTTTACTAATTAATCTATAGCCAAATAAGAAGAAATCAATTCATACCTTTTCCAAGGGTATTTGAGCATAAGTCAATAATATAACAAACTCAACTGGAATTGAAACTCGGTTCTCCCATTAAAAATTCCAAGCTGTTATCCATTATGTCACCCACACATCCAAGTGTACAGCCCCTGGTATTCCCAAACAGTCACCCATCTAGGTATGGATCAGGCTCAATGTTTCTTAACTTCAGTGATCATACGAGAACTGGTGTTTCAATGTGATGTGGCTATAAGCCTACTGTGTACCACTGGTGATATCGTTTATCCCAGTTTATAATAATATGCACTTATCAATGATGTAAGCAGTTTCAAACTTGACATTTGTAAATAAAAACAAAGTACAGATAATTTTTTTATGATTGATTTGACACTGTATTTATATTGCAGACAAGACAACCCTCCCCATTTCTAAAATGACAAAAAAAATATATTTTTCAGATTCTGACAAATGTTGGTAGAGGAAGATTTAATAAGTGCTAATTTAGAAAAATTGTTAAAAAAAATTCTTCCTTGTTTTTTTACAAGAGGACCAACTAATTTAAATAGTTCACCAAATGCCATTGTTATACTTTCAACTATATCTTCTTGTTTTCTATTGTACATGATATCATGTCATGTTAAGGTTTTCCTTTCAACCCAGACTCCACTCAATGGCTGATCAGCTGGATTGACAACACAAAGAACAAGCTTCACATAATCAAACTAGCCCTGGGTGGATGGAGACAGGTGTCTAGAAAAGGAAAAAAGGCTGAGATAATGTTGGCTTGGCTGCACATAGGCCACACATGCCTCACCCATTCATACTTGCTGAAGAATGAAGATCAACCAACATGTACAACATGCCAAGCCACACACACAGTGAAACACATTTTAACTGAATGTACTTACTTAGCACCTGTAAGACACAAATACGCCCAGGTTATCAACATGAGAAAACTATTTGAAACTTTCCACTTTGTAGCTCTTAATAAATTTTATATTTTTGTTATTTCTTCTGAACTTTGTTCTGCCATCCATTTACTCAAGCTCTCTAAGTAAGTTATGCATTATTTCCCTCTGTCCCTCTTGCCTTCAATGTGGCCAGTGAGTATAAGATTTTCCAATCCCACTTTCGTCATTATATGCCTGAGAAATTTCAACTGCCATTTCCTGATGTTAAGTATAAATTCACTTTTTGTTTCCATTTTCTCTAAAACTTCATTGTTGATCAAATGTTCAGTCCATGGTATCCTCAGCATCCCCCTATAGAAGTCCTCAGAGAATTTAAATCATAATTATTTTTTTTTTTTTGTAAAACAGGACCCCCAGTTACAGAAAATCTGCACTGAATTGTAAAATAAAAAATAATCCTAATATATTTTTAATTAGAAAAGCTTTTAATTGCTTTTATGTATAAAATATATTATGGACACTATTGTCTTAAGAAAAATGTTTTTTTCAATAAAAAATAAATTTTTACAAGAAATAAGTTATGTATCATTTTCCTCTGTCTCTCTTGCCTTCAATATCTCCTGTGAGTATAAGATTTTCCAATCCATCTCTCATTATATGCATTAGAAATTTCAACTGCCACTTTCTGATATAAGTGTTCCCATTTTCTCTAAAACTTCATTGTTGCTCACATGTTCAGTTCATGGTATTCTCAGCATCCCCCTATAGAACCACACTTCTGCTGCCTCAAGTCTCCTTTTCATCTGTAAGGAGATTGTCCAGTATTCACTGCCATATAGGATAACTGATATTGCATAACTGCTCAGTACTCTTTTCTTTGTTTCTAACAAAATTTTTCTGTTCCTTAATATTTGCAGTCTTCTAAATATAAATAAGGAAACATAAAGTTCCTCTTGCTGGAAAAAGTACTGTGGAGAGGGGCTCAAAATGCTAGAAAGTATTTATTTAACAATTGAAATTGGTCTTAGATAAACTTACTGAATCACATTAATATCCATTGGTAGAGAAGAGGTAAATGTTAAACTATCCCTTTCATCATGATGAAATAGTTCCTTTTAACATCTTTCTACCTCAAGATTAGCTGAGGTGGGAGGAAGAATGCATTAGAATATATGGCATTCCAAGCAGTCATTCTTCTGTGGCTTGTGGAGGATCAGTTGCTAGCTATTCCTTACAATAAGTCTTTGAAAGTATGTTTAACTTCTAACCCTTTTTTAAAGGAATACTACAAGAATTTATGTGGCATGATAGATTTTGTGACAATATATTTAAAATTTTATATATTCAAAAGAATGAACAATATTTTCTTAACTTTATAAATACCATAAATTAATTCCTATATTTTTGCTAGTTTCTTTACCTTACTCTAAATAATAATGGTTTACAATTAAGTAGGTACCTCCTAAAAATTACAATTAAGTAGGTACCTCCTAAAAATTACAATTAAGTAGGTACCTCCTAAAAATTGCAAAAGAAGAGAAATGATGAAAAAAATATCTAAAACATAGTAAAAAGTTAATTTTCAAAATCTTTGTGTTATTAAGAAGAAAGATGAAAGTCATTTTTTATGTAAAAATTCTTTTTTATCCACTTTAGAAACTTTGAAATTTTGCTTAAAAATGTTGTTTCTCTGGTGTAAACACAAGCCCATAAATTTGTACAGGAAATTTAAGTATCATTTTGCAGTGTAAAACACACTGATTTGGAAATTCTTACAAAAATCAAATAATTGTCGGATTTTAATGAAACTTTCAGGACTTATTCACTAATGAATTAAATTATTATTGAAACGTCTCTTTTTTCTTTTTTTTACATGTTACTCCTTGCTCATTTTTATCCTATGAAATTTGAACAAATTCTTTTTGTATTACTTAATGTTTATATTTGTTATAAAGACAAGTCCTCAGAGAATTTAAATCATTTTTTTTTTTTGTAAAACAGGACCCCCAGTTACAGAAAATCTGCACTGAATTGTAAAATAAAAAATAATCCTAATATATTTTTTAATTAGAAAAGCTTTTAATTGCTTTTATGTATAAAATATATTATGGACACTATTGTCTTAAGAAGAATTTTTTTTCAATGAAAAATAAATTTTTACAAGAATTGTTTTCATTTTTTTTAAACTTTAATTAGAATAATTTATCACAAAAAAAGACACCTAAAGTTTAAAATGCATTTTCAAAATGAAAAGCTTTTATTTTAGCTTTAATTCCAAGCTGATAGATTAAACTTAATATTATCCATAAGCAAAATACTTTTCTGAATTTTAAACTGAATTTAAATTGATTAAAAACTATAAAGACAAGTACCTAAAATTCAATAAAATATTAGATTACTTAGAATACTTTCTTAAATTTTGAAATTTAATCTATTAGCTTTGGAATTAAAACTAAAATAGAAGCTTCAAGAAACATTTTTCATTTTTAAAATGCATTTTAAACTTTAGGTTTCACTTTTTTGGGGAGGTACCTATATAAATTATTTTAATTAAAGTTATAAAAAAAATGAAAATTCTTGTAAAAATTCATTATTCATCAAAAAAATTTTCTTAGACAATAGTGTCCATAACATATGTTATTCATAAAATGCTTATTGAGAAAATTAAATTTATTCTATTAGTTTGGAATTAAAATTAAAATTAAAGCTTCAAGAAAATTTTTCCATTTTTTTAAAATGAATTTTAAACTTGAGGTTTCACTATTTTTGGATGTACAATTAAGCATCATTTATTTGAGATATCTTGGTTGAGCGGTAAGTTCAGTTGATAAAACTTAGATGGAATGATGTTCAAATGATCACTTTAGGTAGCACATGGTGTTTCAAATTACTTAATAAAAAACAAACAAACATTCAATAACAGATAAATTAATACATAAGACTTGAAGCTTTTAATCAAATTAAAAAAAACACAAAAAACTTACCTTCAGGATTAAGTGCCTACTTATACACATTTACATTCACATCAGCAGAAAATATAAAAAAAATAATATATATAATATATATAATTATATCTACTCTCCCATGTGGTTATTCAGTCAGCATTTGAGATGTAATTGAGAGTGTGCATTGCATGACATCCACAATCACAGTGAATATGCATCACTTTTGCTTGAAACTTGGGCACTCATCTTTGGAAACTGTTCAAATAATTCAAAAGCTATGATTGTGAAAGCATCCAACGATTCTGAATCTATTCACTTCCTATTCTTTTCAGGTGGTCCAAAAAACCTGATGTATCAATGATAGCATATTCTGGGATGACTCCATAGAAGCATAATTTTGGCACACGATGAACTATATGACCCACTAGAGCAACAACACCATTGTCTCCAACCCAGAGAAGTTACACTTTGCACAAAAGAAGGTGGATTTCATCAGGTTCCGTGTAATGAAATACAGGATAAAAACCACTAACAGAATGACAGAAGCAATCCTACAGTTCCCTACACCCAAAAACATCACCAACATCAGATCCTGGTTCAGATACATTCTCCCAAGCCGAGATAATAGTCCCTTTCTTGAAATTGCTACTAAGAAAGGACTGGAAGTTCTACTGGGACAATACACTCAACCAAATATTCAACAAATCAAAACAAAGGATTGCATGAGAAATCAAAGACAGTGTGAAGACATTCAAAGACATTAGACCAACATGTCTGTCAACAGATTTTAGCAGAAAAGGTTAGGTTACTTTCTGTTCCAGAAGCACTGTAAGTGTGCCATCAAGGTGGGACTGATCTGCGGTGAAGACCACTGGAAGCTAATTCTACTCAGATCCCACTTCACCAGTGATGCCAAGTCACGCTATGCATGAGTGGTGGGGGAGGCACTGGCACTAGTATACAGATTAGAGTCATGTCGAATATACGTGTTGGGATATCTGAAGCTACTAGTGACAGTGACAAGCCCCTAATAAAAATTTTCTTGGACAAGGCTCTCCCGCAGCAAACTCAATGTCACACCAGACTGCACATCAAGGCACTTTGCAGTGCCAAGGCAAGATGGTACAACTAGTAAATATTCAGGACACATGAGGAACAGGGCTACAAAGGTATGATTTAATTCCACCTATGAACAAGACCCAAAGTTAAGGGCAATCACATGAGACAGGATCATGGTCATGGCAGCTATGGACAAGGAATGTCAGTCCCTGGTGGAACACATATGGAAGAGATTCCCCAAGTTTCGGTATGAACTACCAGTGATAATCTGCCAATTTTGGCTAATGAGAGAAGCATTATACTGCCTGGAAGGAGTGACGATAATGGACAGCAAGATACTCATAATCAAAAAAACTATGGGGAGATGTACTTGAGTTATTCCATTTTGCACATAAGGGCATTAATAGCATGCTGGCAAATGCCAGACAACAATTATTTTGGCCAGGGCTAGACATGAGTAATTGACAGGCTACAGCCCAATGCAAAACATGCCATGTAATGGCCCTGACACAGCCTAGGGAACCCTTGATGTCATTTCTTCAATCTGTGAGGAAAAATTACATGGTATACACAGATCAGTACACAGAATGGGTAGAAGTTCCCTTATGTCATCTGAGAAGGCCAGAACAGCATGTGACACTCTATGGAATTGGTTCTGTACATACGCTGCCCCAGAAGAAATATTGTCCAACGAAGGACCACTGTTCAATTCCCAGGAATATAATTTGTTCCTTAATAATTGGAGAATAAAAAAGCACACATCATCAATGTACTATCCCTAGAGTAATGGACAGGCAGAACTGGCCGTCAAAATAGCCAAGTGAATATTGGTGGACAACACCGACAGATATGGCTGCCTATGCCATGACCATGCGGCCACATCCCTATTAACACCCCATCCAAAACTTGGACATATCTCCAGTGATGATGATGTACAGCCATTTGATAAAGGACCATCCCCCAGCCCTCCATGACAAATACCGAATTCATAAATGGTGGGGTGAGATCAGCCAGTATAGGGAGACAGTGATGGTCAAAAGGCATATGAAGAATGAAAAGTGTTATGATGCACACAGTCAACCACTTTGGAAACTAGAGATTGGAGGATCAGTTCAAATACAGAAACAAGCTAGTCCATACCCACACTGATGGGTAAAATGTGGGAGAGTTGTTGAGGTGCAGGGCAATATCATATATGCACTGACAAGAGCAACCAGCTGACCTGGTGCAACCACTGATTCCTCTGGAAGATAAATCCAGTTGTGGACACCCCGTATCACCCCACAACAGAGGCTGTCTCCCAGATACTGGATACATCAGATGACCCAATGGTGCCTGGACCCTAACATCAACAGCTCAACAAATGGACCACACCTGTTGGCACAGATCAGTATGCGGAACTGCAACCTACACGTTGCCAGGGTGACAACCCCCCCGATACTGCACCAGAGGAAATGGAAGTAAAGTACACAGATGGCTCAGAGAGGATGGAAATCCCCACAATGATGGAGGTTGATGAAAGCCAACACCAAACAAATCAATCCCCACCAACCCAGGACCTATACCGCAGTACAAGATCATCACAACCAGCTTGAAATATATCCCCACAGACCCAGGGGTATGTTGTACGAGTACTCAAGGACATCCCCTCAATCGACCACAACCCAAATGCCTTATGGTCCCCTGGGGAGGTGGAGGTATGTCGAGTAGGACAGGTAGCTGTATCATACAGAGGGGTGTCTGTAAAAACAGCACTGGTTGCCCATTCATGAAATGGATTAACCTGGCCACATGCAAGACATGGCACACATGTGAACAATGCAAATATAAACAAGGCTAGTGGGAAGCCTAAAATGGTGGACAGATTGCAACCATCACTCAAGCACTCTACAAATCTATCAATGGAAAAGCATAGAAACTGCGACTCTGATGTGCCATATGATAAATTGAATACAATGATCCAATTTGCGTCAGTTTGTAAATGACTTTGTAAACTAGTTATCCCTGCAAATTTGGTAATTTTTCATTGACATTAAATGAAATGAATAAAATGTTGCAGCATTATCATTTATAACCATTGGAGATTAAATCATATTGCAAACAAGAAAAACTGATTGGACGAAAAGTAAATAATGTACAAAATAAATTTTCTTTGAAATGCGATCAGCATGCCATAGTCTGCCAACCGCTGCTTGTTATGTTAAAAATATGAATCCACTTCTTTTTCCTGGGGGCATGAGTACAAAGTGAAAAATTTGATTTGGAACAGGGACAGTAGGAATTGAAAATTTATTCACCAAATCCATTTTTTGTACCAATAACCATTAATGCATCCTGCAGACCAATCAATTTACACATTATACTCTTAATCAATTTTAAAGTATAAAGAATGAAAGCAACTAAGAAAATGTGTGTAGGTTGATAATATGAATTAAAAATGAAACATTGACAAAATTAACTATGTTTTCTAATCTTATGTTGATTTCTTATTACCACTTTCATTTTTTTCATAGGTGCGTACATACATGTTACGAAATTATATGTTAGAAAGAATAAAAGATAAGTGCCAAGGCACAATGTCATAAAAATAATAACAGATCCTCTCATGAAATAAATATTTTTTTTATCAATTATCCAACTGTAAACAATTGTTTGTTTTGATTTTAGATACACAACTTTTTTTCTCTTCACTTGTATTTATTATTATGAATAATCAAGAGTGGTTTCTCCTTGTTTTGTTATTCTCCTCCTTGAGAGAGCTATTTCTGTTTACTGGGACTATAAAAGGACACTATATGCGAAAATTGTATTCTTGGTTGAATAAACCTCTGACCATGTTAGACCTTTATTCTGAGAATCGTTTGAACTGTTAACTGCTGATTTTTAGTTAAGTTTGATTTATTTTTACAGTTTTTTTCTTACATTCTTTTACAACTGTTTTGTAAAGTTTTGATTTTTTCCTTTTCAATTTCCTACCCTCCCCATTTTATTTTTTACTTTATTTTGCTTTTATTCTCTTATTATTTAATTTTTTGATTTTCTCTTACAGTTAATTTCTTTTGAATTTATTTTTTCCATATCCCCTTCCCAGAGTTTGTCTCTTTTATCTTTTTTCTCTACGACTTTTTGTCCGACTTAATTTTTCTTTGTTTATTATTATGTGTTACTTTGTTCTGTGTTTTTTCTTTTAAATATCCGTAAAGTTCTTTGTTTTATTTGTTAATAACTTCTGTACATATATTTGTTTCTAAATTTTGTGTTTATTTTGTATATTCTGTCCGTTTTTCTTCTTTCCTTGTTTTTCATTTTGTTATAGGGCTGACCGTTTTTTTTAATGGCAGCCATACTGTGAATTGTTACATATTTATTGTTTTGTATTTTCTTTGTATAGCGTTTCTTTTTTTCTTTGTATAGCATTTTATTGTTTATTTTGTTGCATATTTATTTTATTTTTCTCGTCTGTCATCTATTTAATCCTGTGTGCATCCTTCTGTTTTGTTTTTTTCTTTTTGACTGTTTAAATTTGTTGTTTCACCCTTAGGCAAACCTTGTTCATTTGTTCTCATCTTTCATCTATTTAATCTTTTGTACATCCTTCTGTTTTGTGTTTAAATTTGTTGTTTTGCTTTCAGGCGAACCTTTGTTTATATTTATTTAATTTTTCTCGTCTGTTGCCTACTTTTTGTACATTTAAACTTGTTGTCTCACTTTCAGGCGAACCTTGTCTTTTGTATATTTATTTTTCTCGTCTGTCACCTATTTTTTGTCTGTTTAATTTGTTTTGTATTCAGGCCTATCTGTTTATTGGTATTTTTTTAATTTTTCGTTTTGCCTATAGGCGAAACTTATTAACAATTTTTTCTTTTATCACCCCTCCCCTTTCCTTTAAAAATGGAGAAAAAAAAAGAGTTCTGTTTGTTTTAATTATCAAAAAAAAAAAAATTATCAGAAACCGAAAATGGCCGACCTTAAGAATTCAGTCAGAAAACATTTATTCTTGAGAAAAAAAGACCCCGCACCCCGATAAAGACAATCCTGAGGAGTACCTGGCATTATCACCCGTTAATGAGGAGGCTGTTGGTGGCCATCACAAGACAAAAAATATGGAGGCCAATAATGGCCAAGACAAAATCAAAAAAAGTATGGTAGCCAATAATGGTCAAGAAGCAGAAACCAAAAATATGGCGGCCAATAATGGCCAAAAAGATAAAAAGAAGACGAATAATAACACGGAGGCTGGGGATTCGGCCTGTGGTTGGAAGTCCCCACCAAAATGCATCAACTATATCGCGGACCCCATAGAACTAAAGAAAATCGAAAAAAGAATAGTGCCAGTTTTCATCATTGATAAGTGTACACGCAAAATTTGTCGTTCAATGAAAGACACAGTGGTAAAAACACGGGAGTCCCTGGGGTTTAAGCCCCTAAGAATTGTTAAGGGTACAGGCTTTTTCATGTGAGATATATTGCTACCCACACCGGAAGATTGTATTAAAGTCACAAGCAGAGAACTTATAACAAAAGATCTCATACTGCAAACGGAGTACGAAGGCAGGAGAAGGACCCAAGTAGCAATATACAAGGTCCCTCCTCAGGTTATTGGCAATACCTAGCTTTCTTGTCACAGTATGGAGAAATACTGGGTGCTTCCTGCAATAGCTTGACCAGGGGATGAAGTTTCAACATAATGTTGGACCGCAAAGCCTTCCTTTCCATCCCCAACTGTCTGAATGTAGGAGGCCTGAAGCTGCCGGTCATTGTGACCAGCCGTAAAGCAGTTTGTTGGAAGTGTGGAGAGACTGGTCACCTCTCCTCTTTCTGCCCAGAGAAGAAGGCCTCTGGAAGTCAGGCCAAAGTTGACCAAACTCCCCCTCTGACCGCATCTTTGAATTCTGCCACGCCTGTAATGGGTATACCAGCTTCCGGGACCGAAGTTGTTAAACCCCCGGTTGGGTCTACATCTACGCCTCCATTCCCCGATGAGCTGTCTCATGCTGCAAGTGCAGTTATGAAGAAGGGAGGGGGGAATGACAGGTTGCTGGCAGGGCCAAAAGGAAGTGCCAGAGAGCAGGTCCTCAGTCCCTTAAAGCCCCTGGGACAAAAGACATTGACAGTCCCACATCCCCTGTCAATATTAAGGGTGACACCCCAGTCTCAAAACCTACTCTAACAGAATTACAGAAAAAATATGACACAGATTTTGAAAAAAAAAACGAGAAAATAAAAAATTAAAAGAAAAATTGGACATTCAATGCCATCAAAAGTCCTCCCTCACGAAAAAGGCTACTCCCTCTAAATCCCCTGCCCCACATTCACCACATTCTTCCCATCCCTCTACCCGTCTCAGTAAAAACTCCAGTCAGCACAAGACCTCCTCTGCTAAGAAGGCTACTCCCTCCACACCCTCTGTCCCATCACATTCTTCCCATCCCTCAAACCCTCTTAGTAGAGACTCCAGCCAAGGAAAGCCCTCTCCCTTTAAAAAGTTCACTCCCTCTACATCTTCTACCCAGACATATTCTTCCCATCCCTCAACCCCTCTAAGTAGAAACCCCAGCCCTTTCAGAAAAAACTTTATACCTTGCTACACTCCCTGTCCTTCCCCCATTAAATCAGCTGAAATGCCCCCTCCTCTCAACAAAAGACAAAGAAGTTCAACTCAGGACTTAAATGATAAAAGAAAAAACATAAACATATGTACAACACTGGCGATGATGTATGCCGCATTTCCCCCACTCAGGCAGAAAGAGCTTGTGATTGCGGCAACAGAATCAAGGACTTAAAATACCACCCCTCTGTCAAGCATTATGCAGACAGAGATGCTGAAGACCTAAAAAATTTCCCAGAAGCCTAAAGTGTATTAACAGTCATCAGAACTGGGACGGGGGCTTGACAGGCATGGGCGATGCTTGACAAGGCAATAACCGCATATAAAATGTTCCCACCCATTGCAATCGTGAAGATCCAAGATTGAAGCAACTGAAACAATTTTGGTACCATCAAGACTAAGATGGGCCATGGGTTGATGTGGGAAGCTGTCGGTACCCTTACCCCATCCATGTTCAATTCAGGAAAGCAAGTCTAATCGGTTTGATAATGTCTCTCTGGTTAGCTAGTTTGAATGTCCGAGGCCTGAGGTCGGAGTCTTGCAGGAGAAAGCTCTCTCATGACCTTCAGCGTCTCGGGGTGGATCTATGTTGTGTGCAAGAGACCCGTTTTTCTTCTTGTGATCATGTAGGCATTCTGTCCAGGGGGTTTTCCCTCTGTTCAGCATGTTTTGATGGATGCTCAAGGGGTGTCTCTTCGCTGGTGAGCAAGTCTTTGGAGTGGACAGACTTTGCATGCTGGATGTTACCATAAAGGATAAGGCTCTTCGTCTCATTGGGGTTATTGCACCCAATAAGCATTTTGAGCAGCCTGCTTTGTTTCAGCAGATTGAGCTGTTCTTGACGACTAGCTGGGGATTGGAATGCCATCCTTGACCCCGATATAGATTGTATAGGGCCAAATTCAGATACTAACAACCAGGATGTGAAACTATTTCGGGACTTTATTGACAAGTTTGATCTTGTTGATAAGTACCAAAATGAACACCCTCGGACTAATAGTCGCAGCTCAGCTACTGAAGTGTGTTCTAGCTACCTCAACCAAGTCTTAGTCAAGAAGTCGATGTAGGGCTCTTAGGGTGTCCAAGTTTCCATTATATAGTTTATTTGGATCATAGGCTAGTCCGGTTCCGTGTAAACTTAGATAAGCCTGAGGTTAAGATGGCAGGAGCTATGGTGGAAAATGCCTGGTGGGATAATTTAAAATCCAAAATTAGAACGTTTGCGCTGATTATAGTCATTGACTCAATCTAGATAGTTTAGCGGTGCAAACGGCTTGTGAGCAAAAAGTTGATCAGGCGGTCAAATCCCGTGATAGTGCGGACATAGCTTCAGCTAAGGCAGGGTTGGCCTCCTTGCTTATCAAGAAGGATCAAGCTCTGGTAGTTAGGGCTAGGTTAAAAAAAATGTCTTCTGAGGCAACGAATATGGCCACTGAACTACATGCAAAGGAGGTTCAGAGTGCATCTCGGCGACATATCGCATGCGTCACATTGCCAGATAAGTGGACAGTGACTACAAACAAGGACATATGTGAGGCTTTTCATGAGCACTTTTCACCAGGGAGTCCAGTCTGAGCCCAGTTCAGGTTGACGCCTATTTAGCTGACTTTCCCTGCCTTGAAGCAGCTAGGCGTGAGGATCCCATTACAGAGTCAGAAATCTGGGAAGCACTTGAAACATGTTGGCCTTGACAAATCTCCTTGATTAGATGGTCTTCCATATGAAGTGTACTTGAGGCAGTTGTCCATTTTTGTTCCCTTGCTGGCACTGATTTTCAGCAACTGGATGAAGCAGGGGTTTATACCCCAACACTTCACTAGTGGCGTAATCAAGTTGTTATGCAAGGACAAAAATGGTAGGGATGGGTTAGGTAACTTTCGCCCTTTAAGTATGTTAAACACAGAGTTAAAGATTTTAGCTATGGTCTTAGCGAACCGTTTGCAGGCTGTCCTGTCCTGTCTAGTCTGATTGGCTCCGAACAGACTTGTGCTGTGAAGGGCAGGACTATTTAGGGCAACCTTCATATGGTACACTTGATCATTGAGCAAGTCAACAGTGAAGCAGTGATGATCAATTTAGATCAGTCCAAGGCCTTTGATAGGGTTGACCATCAGTTTGTGAAGGCTGTCCTTTCGGCAGCTGGTTTCGGGACATACTTTCACACCTGGAACCAAATTCTGTGCACTAGTGGAGGTGAATGGGGTATGATCGGAGCTTTTTGTATTGTCTTGCTACATTTGTCAAGGTTGTCCGCATTCACCTTTGCTTTACGTTCTTGCACTGGAACCTTTCCTTTGCAAGTTAAAGACGAATTCGGTCCTATGCGGAATTTCCCTACTTGGTGCTACCACCTTGGCCAGGTATTCTGCCTATGCTGATGACGTTTCAGTTCTTGTGTCAAACAGAACCAAGATTGATAAAGTCAGCAAAGAAATCACTAGTTATGAGATGGTGACAGGGGCCAAGATCAACCATGATAAGTCTGTTGGTTTGCAGTTGGGTGTGTGGAAGGGAGTTTCTCTTCCTGGACCTTTCCCTGGACAGATGGGCTGGTCAAGATACTCGGTGTCTGGTTCAGTCCTGATATCCAGTTGGAAATGAATTGGTCGGAGGTACAAGGGTGTTGTGGAGTAATTTCACAGTGGAGACTTATATTTGTACTAAATCGGTCCTAGAATAATGTTCAACGTACAAAATGTTAGGAACTTGATATAATAGGTATTACGCAGAGTAATCTTGTTGTGGTCGCTGATACTTTCGTATTCAACTAACTGTCGTCTGACATCAACCAACAACGACTGGCCGTCGTTTCTATTACTACTCCTACTTATATTAGGTGGGAGAGTCTATTAACTATAGAATAGGTGTGTTTCACCATAACACCCCCCCTCCTAAAACTTTACTCCGTAGGAGTAAAACAGTTTACTTTATTTATTTTTTACAGGAAATATGAAGAAAAAACAAAAAAAAACTTCATTGTTTTAGCAACATCGTAGCGTATCTCCTACGTTTTGGATCCACTTTTAAATGATCAGTTGCCTTTCTTTTTCTCCTGGATCAGCGTACCTCAGGTAAAATTGTTGCAGGCATTGTTAGATCAAACGTATTGAAAATCACCTCTATCGGCATTTCTTACGCAGGATCGCTGTCAACCACATCTGAAGAGCGTCGTCTGATCTGGTTAATGTGCCGTCTGCACATTAATTTTTTGCCTTTCACCAAGTACATCATATTCCCAATCCGTTTTTCTATTTTTCCAATCTTCCAGAATGATTTATTCTGTTTATAGATCTTAAAGTATATTTTTTTCACCAGGATTGTATTTTTTTTACTTGAATAAATTTTTCTCTACCTGGCTTTGTCTTTTTTGGCAATAATTTGTCGAAAACAGATCTTACCCGACGTGCGAACATTACCTCAGCTGGCGACTGTGAGGCTGGTGTTCCGTTATTTGGGGTAATTCTGTATACCTGTAGAAACTTCTGTAGGGCTTCATCTGCAGGTATTTCCCTAACTTTCTTTAGAGCTCTTTTTAGGGTGTCCACAAATTTTTCAGCTAACCCGTTTGATCTTGGGTGATATGGAGCTGTGGTAACATGTTTGACATTGTATTCCTTGCAGAAATCTTTAAATTGTTTCAACATAAACTGACTTCTGTTGTCCGTCACAATTGTGTCTGCTACACCAAACCTTGTGAACAATTCCAGCAGGAAGTTTTTAGTACTTTGTGTCGTCGGATTTCTTATCCTTTGTATCTCAGGCCATTTTGAGAAACTATCCACTACTATGATGTAATGGTATCCATTCAGTGGACCTGCAAAATCCACATGTAACCTAGACCATGGTAGATCTGTTTTTGGCCAGGGGTTAAATTTTAATGGGGGTGCCTTTGCAGCGAAAGCACAGCCTTTACATTTTGCCACTGCGTTCTCAATGTCCCTGCCCATATTCGGCCAATATACAAAACTTCACATTAGGTTCTTCATCCTAGTGCTGCCCAGGTGACCAGTATGAAAATTCTTTAGTATTTACTTCTGCAATGTGTATGGAATCACCACACGTTCTCTGTACAACAATACTATATCGCAAAGTGAAAAAACATTTGTCGTGTACTGGTCCCTTTCGGCTATTTTTTATTTTATTTTCAAGATATACTTGTCCCTGGTGGCTTCTTCTTTTATTTTTTCTAGAGTTACCAGAAGTTCCTGGACTGCATTGCACACAGTAAGTTTCAGCTCTTCTGACTTCAGTGAGGCAATTACTGGGTCTTCTAATGGTTCACTCATTTTAGGAATAAACCTGGAGAGCCCATCAGCACAGCCAAATTTATTCAATGGTATGTACTCCATGCTGAAGTTATAATTTAGCAATATTGTACCCCATCTCTGTAGACGGTTGGCTGTATGCGCCGGCAAACCCTTTTTTGATCCAAAAATCGAAATTAGAGGCTTATGATCGGTTTGTAGCTTAAAATGTCAACTGTGGAGAAAACGGTGAAATTTTGCTACTGCAAATATTATTCCTAGCACCTCTTTCTCTATCTGAGAGTAATTCTTCTCAGCCAGAAGTAGTGCTCTAGAAGCATGAGCAATTGGTTTTACTTGACCATCTGCCATTTTGTGTAAGATACATGCTCCTACTCCATATGCACTTGCATCGAAAGCTACTATGATCTCTAAATCCAGGTTGTAATGGGTTAAAAATAATTCCGAGGTTAACACTTCCTTTATCTTTTCAAGTGCTTTTTGGCATTCATTAGTCCATTTCCAGGGTTTTCCATTCTTCAGTAGTTCATTTAATGGTGCCCGCAGAGCATACATTTTAGAGATGTATATTTGGTAATAATTAGCTAATCCCAAAAGATTTTGTAATGTGGTAATATCATTCGGAGCCAGCATGTCTTTTATAGCTGCTGCTCGCTCTGGGTCTGGCCTTC